CTCAGGGCAGGAGGGTTCTTTGCTTCTCCCTGGCCTTTCTTCACGCTGTCTCCCATCAAAATTCCAATATTTAGGATCTAGGTGTCTCTCCAGCTTCTCTTGGTGCCTGGTTTTGGGTTTTACCTGAATTAATTTAGTGGTCAGAATAATCAGAGCAAGTGCTAATCAAACTTTTCCATGAGCTCCAAACCCCTTCCTTCTGAGCCTCCAAAGAGACAGAGAAATAAAGGAATCTTGAAACAGGGAGATAAAGGACTCCTTGCCCAGGGAAGCTGTGGCTGCTCATCCCTGGAAGTGTCCAAGGCCGGGTTGGACGGGGCTTGGAGCAACCCAGGATGGGTTGGAACCAGATGGTTTTCAAGGTCCCTTCCAACCCAAACCAGCCCACGATTCCACGAAACGTGTCGTGAGCGTCCTTGTGCCTCCTCATTCCAGATTTATGCAGAGCTGGACCACCTTGCATCCGAGCACAGCTTCGTGGAGAAGATCCAGATCGGGGAGTCCTACGAGAAGCGCCCTCTGTACGCCCTCAAGGTACAACAGAACGTCCCAGGGTGTGCCTGGCGTGGGACAGGCACGGCAGAGCTTGACCCAGATCACCCCAGCCTGCCTGGGATGGTCTTGGCTGGTGGATGATTTGACTCTTTCCCTCCCATTCCCACAGTTCAGCACCGGCGGATCCAACCGCCCGGCCATCTGGCTCGACGCCGGCATCCACTCCCGGGAGTGGGTCACCCAGGCCAGCGCCCTCTGGATCGCCAACCAGGTCCCCTTGAGCTTTTCTGCTTCGTCCTGGGAGTGCCTCAGAGCATTCCGAGGACGTCACACCCGTGTGTTTAATTAACTCTGCTGATCCTCCGCCCCTCGCAAAACTGACTCCAGGAGGAGGATGTTGAGGCTGCCCGGAGCACACGGTGTCTTGTTGAGAGTTTAGGCAGACAAAATGCAGTAGTTTAGGGAGACAAAATGCAGCAGTTCAGGGAGACAAAGTGCAGCAGTTCATGGGAAGTTGTTGACAAAAAGGGGGCTGATAATCCCACAAAAAAAACCAAGGCCTTGGAGATTGTTTGGCTGCTTCACTTTCCCGGCGCAGGGAGACGCTCTGTGGTTGGTTCCCTCCCACAGCAATGCTCCATCTCTCTGTAAATTTAAACCATCTCAAGCGTTTAAACCCTGCTGGAGGTGCCTAAACCACCCCAGGAGTGCAGCCCAGTTGAGTATTCCCAGCCTGGCTGCTCTGCTTCAGTCCCAGTGTGGGATCTTGGTCAGTTCTCCGGGACAAGGGAGTGGGAAATTTTGTTGCCTCCTTCCATTAACCTCCAAATCAAACAAATTAATTGGCCACCAGACAACTGATACTCTTGTTCCCCTGCCCCAAAATCCAGACGCTGTTCCCAGCTGTGAGGGCCCCTGGGACAGGAACGCTCTGCTGACCGGGGTGTGCTGTCCTGTCTCTGCCCAGATCGCCTCCGGCTACGGATCCGACTCCTCCATCACCTCCCTGCTGGACAAGATGGACCTTTTCCTGCTGCCAGTGGCCAACCCTGATGGCTTTGTGTACACCCACACCTCGGTGAGTGAGGGGGCCGATCCAGGGAGCTGCCCTGCTCTTCCAAGGAAATAATAAACACAGGCAAACGGGCTCTGGAATTCCCTTTCTTAGCGCTGTGAGAAGGAACTACAAGGAGGAATTTTAAATTACTCACCTTAAACACCCCACCCCCATCCGGTTCTGACCATTGTCCCATCGGGAATAATGCTGGGATCACGCCTGGGATCCCCCCCCGGGGAATGGCAGCTCCTTCTGGGAGCAGTTCCGACCCAAACACCCGGATTTGCTCATTTTTGGGAGCTGTTTCCTCTCTTCCAGAACCGCATGTGGAGGAAGACGCGCTCCAAGAACGCGGGCAGCGTCTGCTACGGGGTGGATCCCAACAGGAACTGGGATGCGGGCTTTGGAGGTAGGAATGAGGAGTTTCTGGGCCCTGGATCCCGTCACAGAGCACCGGGAATAACACAAGGGACTCCAAGCGGTCCCTCGGGATGGAGCCGTTTCCCATTTTGCGTGGATTAATCGCCCAAGAGCACGAGGTGAAGGTGGCACTCGTGGAATCACGGAATTACAGGCTGGTTTGGCTTGGGAGGGACCTGAAACACCGTTTAGTTCCAGTCAGGGACACCTCCCAGTGCTCCAAGCCCTGTCCCAGCACAGAACACCTCCGGGGGTGGGGGTTCCAGGTCGCGTCATCTCAAAGCACATCCCTTAAACATTCCCGCCCTGGCGCTGCTGTCCGAGGGTTTGCCGGCATTTCAGGCCTTGCCTCAGTAGAGCCTGGCTTTGTTGGGCCTTCCTCGACCTCCCAGGACTGTCCCTTCTCACTGGTTTGTCCCCTCCAGGTCCCGGGGCCAGCAGCTGGCCCTGCTCCGACTCCTACCACGGCCCCAGCGCCGAGTCCGAGGTGGAGGTGAAATCCGTGGCCGACTTCATCAGGAACCACGGGAACTTCAAGGCCTTCCTCACCCTGCACAGCTATTCCCAGCTCCTGATGTATCCCTACGGATACAAGTGCACCAGGCCCGACGACTACGCCGAGCTGGTGAGACACGAGAAGCTTTGGCTTCTCCTCCTCTGGGCTTTGGCTTCTCCTCCTCTTGGCTTTGCCTTGTCCTCCTCTTGGCTTTGCCTTCTCCTCCTCTTGGCTTTGCCTTCTCCTCCTCTTGGCTTTGCCTTCTCCTCCTCTGGGCTTTGGCTTCTCCTCCTCTGGGCTTTGGCTTCTCCTCCTCTGGGCTTTGCCTTCTCCTTCCCTTTCTGGCTGCCTCCCGGAGCTCTCCGTGCTCCAGGCTCTTCCCTAACAACAGCCACGTGGACCTCACCGCCGGAATTCCGACGGGAAAGCCCCTCTGGAGGTCTCCATCCCAGCCCTGGGCTGAAAGGGGTTTGGAGTCGGAGCCGGTTTGGGATGGGGTGGCTCAGGGTCAAGCTGAGCTTTGGGTCACTGTTTTGATTTGTTTCCACGTTTCTGAAGGCAAATCCCACAAATTCCCAAAGTTTCGCCCTTCCAAAAGCTCTCCTGGATTTTTTCTTCGTCCCTAATGCCTAAATGCAGTTTTTTCCCCCGTGGCAATTTGTTGCCACTTGTCCTTTCTCCCACTTCCATGAAGATCCCGGCTCTCTTTTCCATAAAAGCCCATCATGGAGTGGAAATGAGCACAAAGCTGATCCTGGAGTATTGGAATATCCCCGATATTCCTTGGGATTTTCTGGTATCTCTTGAACCTTCCCTTGACAGTCAGTGAGATGAAACACTGGATGGTCAGTTATGGAACCTGTTGGGAATTATTCCACCTGCGGTGCCCCTTCCCAGAAATCCTGTGGGAGCTGGGAGTGCTGGGGGTGGGTGGAGGTTCCTCTGAGTGTCTCGTGAAGTTTGGCTGCTTCCTGACTCGCCCTCCCTGTTCTGCTCTCCAGGAATCCCTGGGAAGAGCCGCTGCCAATGCCATCAAATCCGTGTACGGCACCACCTTCCAAGTGGGGCCCATCTGCTCCACCATCTGTGAGTGTGGGGCTGCTCAGGGCTCGTTGGGCTGGCCCTGGACAACAATTCCTGTCCCTGGACAACAATTCCTGTCCCTGGACAACAACCCCTGTCCCTGGACAACAACCCCTGTCCAACAATCCCTGTCCCTGGACAACAATCCCTGGACAACAATCCCTGTCCCTGGACAACAATCCCTGTCCCTGTCAAACAATTCCTGTCCAACAACCCCTGTCCCTGGACAACAATTCCTGTCCAACGATCCCCGTCCGTGTACAACAATTCCTGTCCAACGATCCCCGTCCGTGGACAACAACCCCTGTCCAACAATTCCTGTCCCTGGACAACAACCCCTGTCCCTGGAAAACAATCTCTGTCCTCCCACAATCCCTGTCCCAGGACAACAATCCTGATTCCAGGACAACAATCCCTGTCCCCCCACAATCCCCATCCAACAATTCCTATCCCAGGGCACCAATCCCTGTCCCCACAATCCCTATCCCAGCACAACATTCCCTGTCCCCCTACAGTCCCTGTCCCCACAGTCCCTGTCCCCACCATCCCTGTCCCAAAATAACAGTCCCTCTCCCTGCCAACAATCCCTGTCCCAGCGCAACAGTTCCTCTCCCCACAATCCCTGTTCCCACAATCCCTGTCCCTGTCCAACAATCCCTGTCCCAGGACACCAATCCCTGTTCCCACAATCCCTGTCCCAGGACACCAATTCCTGTTCCTACAATCCCTATCCCCCCCACAATCCCTATCCCAGCACAACATTCCCTGTCCCCCACAATCCCTGTCCCAATATAACAGTCCCTCTCTCCCCCAACAATCCCTATCCCAGCACAACAGTTCCTGTCCCCCACAATCCTGTCCCCACAGTCCCTATCCCTCCACAATCCCTGTCCAACAATCCCTGTCCCCCACAATCCCTGTCCAACAATCCCTGTCCCCCACAATTCCTGTCCAACAATCCCTGTCCCCCACAATCCCTATTCCCTCAATCCCTGTCCCCCACAATCCCTGTCCAACAATCCCTGTCCTCACAATCCCTATCCCAGCACACCAATCTCTGTCCCAGGACATCAATCCCTGTCCAACAATCCCTGTCCCCCACAATCCCTGTCCAACAATCCCTGTCCCCATAATCCCTGTCTCCCACAATCCCTATTCCCTCAATCCCTGTCCCCCACAGTCCCTGTCCAACAATCCCTGTCCCCACAATCCCTATCCCAGCACACCAATCCCTGTCCCAGGACATCAATCCCTGTCCAACAATCCCTGTCCCCCACAGTCCCTGTCCAACAATCCCTGTCCCCACAATCCCTATCCCAGCACACCAATCCCTGTCCCAGGACATCAATCCCTATCCAACAATCCCTGTCCAACAATCCCTGTCCCTCGGAAGCCCCTGAGCATTCCCCCCCCAACCCTCCTCCCCGTCCCTCCCAACCCCAAACCGCAGCCCCCCCCCCCCCCCTACACTCCCATATTCCCGCGCTGATCCCTCTGTCCGCATTCCCATTCCCTGTTCCCAGACCAGGCCAGCGGGGGCAGCATCGACTGGGCCTACGACATCGGCATCAAATATTCCTTCGCCTTCGAGCTGCGGGACACGGGACGCTACGGATTCCTTCTCCCCGCCAACCAGATCGTCCCCGCCGCCACCGAGACCTGGATGGGCCTCAGGAAGATCATGGAGCACGTCCTGAAAAAGCAGGACTGAGCCCCGGGAGCCGGCAAAGGGCTCTTCCCCGGGCTGGGATGAATAAACCCCTCCCGTGCATCCCGCTCCTGGAGTTGTTGGATTGTTCCCCACATCCCGTGGGATGAGGGGTTGGGAGACAGCTCGTCCTGCCCACTCATCCCCTTCCACACCTCCCGCTATCCCAGGTTGCTCCAAGCCCCGTCCAGCCCGGCCTGGGACACTTTCAGGGATGGGGAGAGTCAGGAGGGGTGGGCAGGGATGAGCCTGGGCTCGGAAAAAAGTAAGGAAAAAGAGTCCGTTAAAACCCGTGGATAACGGGGGGTTGGATGAGCTCAGTGGCATTTGGACTCGTTGGGAAGCAGGAGCGCAGTGAGAAAGAGGGAAAATGAGGAAATGAGGGAAGCAGGAAATTCCCTGGTGACTGAAGGCAGTCACGGAATCACGGAATGGTTTGGATGGGAAGGGACCTTAAAGATCATCCAGTTCCAATCCCAACACCTTCCACTATCCCAGGTTGCTCCAACTTGTCCTTGAACACTTCCAGGGATCCAGGGGCAGCCACAGATGCTCTGGGAATTCCATTCCAGCCCCTCCCCACCCTCAGAGATAGGAATTCCTTCCCAATATCCCACCTAACCCTGCCCTCTGGCACTGGGA